TAATTTCTGCATTGATTTTTTTATTATTTTTTGCTATCTGCTGAGTTTAGGATTGGTTTGTTCTTTTTCCTCCAAATTCCTGAGTTGCATCATGAAGTCATTTAATTTGTTCTTTTTCTGATCTTTTTGTGTAGACACTTAAGGCTATAAACTTCTCTCTTAATTCTGATTTTTGTGTACTCAAGAGGTTTAGTCAGAGTACATTTTCATTTAATTCCCAGAATGTTTTCGTTTCTTTCTTGATTTCTTTTTTGACCTATTCACCGTTTCACAGTGACTTGTTTAATCCCCATGAATTAACGTCCTTACTGGAGTTTGTTTGCTGTCAGTTTTTAGTTTTATTGCATAATGGTCAGATAAGGCACATGGAATTATTTCAGTTATTCTGTATTTGTTAATGTTTGCTTTGTGCCTCAAGATGTGGTTTATTTTAGAAAAGTTTCCATGTACTGCTTTGTAGATTATTTTTTGTCATTTGGGTGGAATACTTTGTAGATATTTGTTAGGCCCGTTTAATGTAGGATATTGTTTAATTCTGAGGTTTCTCCCTATTTTGACCAGATGACCTATCTATTGGATAAAGGAGGGTGTTGAAATTACCTATAATTATTGGTTTAGTGTTAATCTGTGTGTTTAATTCAAGTAGTATGCTTTTTTTGTGAAATTGAGTGCATCAAACTTTGGTGCACATGTGTTCAGTATCGTGAATTTTTTTCCCTGATTAAATAATCCCTTGATTAGAATGAAGTGCCCTTCACTCTTTCTGCTGATTAGATTTAGGTTAATGTTTATTTTGTCAGATATTAAGATGCTAATGCCTGCTTTCTTCTTGATCCCATTTGATTAAAATACTTTTTTCTGTCATTTCGGTTTAAGGTAGTACCTATCTTTTTCTTTCTTTCTTTTTTTTAAATACTCTCATGATTTATTGAGCTTCATGTCTAGACAGAGATATGCTAAATGTTGTAGACATCATCTCATTTAATATAAAATAGAAAACTGAAGCCATTTCTATTGTTGGCTAAATGTGCCAGGCAGGTCTTGACATCTTGCCTCAGACAGATGTGAAAACCTCACCTAGATGAAACAGCTACATGGTAGTGTAATTTAAACCCGGCTTATAAGTTCCTCTTGATGCCGGGGCCTATGTGGTCTGCTTCAGCTTTACCTAGGTACCTCCCAAACTAGAAACCCATTGCTTTTTTTTTAATTGGATATTTTCTTTATTTACATTTCAAATGTTATCTCCTTTCCAGGTTTGCCCCCTGGAAACTCCCTATTCCTCCCATCCCTGCCTCTATGAGAGTGCTCCCCCATACACCCACCCAATCTCACCTCACTGCCCTAGCATTACTCTACACTGGGGCATCAAGCCTTCACAGGACCAAGAGCCTCTCCTCCAATTGATGCCCAACAAGGCCATCCTCTGCTACAAATGCAGCTGGAGCCATGGGTCCCTCCATGTGCATTCTTTGGTTGGTGGTTTAGCTTCTGGGAGCTTTGGAGGGTCTGGTTGGTTGATGTTGTTCTTCCTATGGGTTGCAAACCTCTTCAGCTACTTCCGTCCTTTCTCTAACTCCTCCATTGGGGACCCTGTTCTCAGTCCAATGGTTGGCTGTGTGCATCCGCCTCTGTATTTGTCAGGCTTTGGCAGAGTTTCTTGTAGACAACAGGTATGTGGATTTTTCCCAACATAATATTTTTATTGATTACTTGAGAATCTCACATCATGTACCCCAACCACAATAAATTTTTCGGTCCTCCCAGGTCTTCCCTCTACTCTTGTGACCCCCCCCCCCACACACACACACAAAAGAAGGAGGAAGAGGAAGAAGAGAGAGAAATAGGGAAGGAGGGAGGAGAGAGAGAGAGAGAGAGAGAGAGAGAGAGAGAGAGAGAGAGAGAGAGAGAGAGAAACACACCACAAGTCCACAAGTCCAATTTGTGTTGTTCATATACTGTCTGAAGCATGGTCAAATTCCCAGTAACCAGTCCCTTAAAGAAAATTGAGTCCTTCCTCATCTGCTCCCCTACCAGAAGCCCTCAATTGTGGAGAGCTACACTTCAGCATCCTTATCACAATTTTAAGAGTTTTCTTCAATGCTTTCCTGTCTAGGCTGTTACTTTGGGGGGTATAGGCGGCAGTTTGGGGTGGTGGTAGTGTTTGTCACAGAGGCCGTCTATGTACCTTTTTTCAACTCTAAGTCTGCAGTCATCAGCGCAAAAGTAGCTTCCTTGCACTGTACAGTCAGCAAGAGCATGGATCAAGAACTTCCATGTGGGTTCTGGCAACAGCAAGGACTGCAGACATCCACATGGTCTCTAGTGGCAGTACAGACCCTGGACATCAGCACAGCTGCAGTACAGACCACAACAGACTTTTTTTTAGTACATCGAGCTTACTTGTGTGATTTGATTGTAAAGTTGAGCCCATTGATATTTAGAGTTATTGTTGAAAGATGAGTATAGATGTCAATTGGTAGTTCTTTTGCTGTTCTATTTATTTATTGTGCTGGTTTGTATTATTAGTTGTTCTTTGTCTTTTGTTGTTATAACTTTTTTTCCCTAGAGTCTCTTGGCTGTGCTTACTCCTCTTTTCAGTTCAGATTATTGCTTCTGTGTAGTGGGGGTGTTTGTTATTTTGTTTTATGTGATTTTTTTTTCGAGACAGGGTTTCTCTGTGTAGCCCTGGCTGTCCTGGAACTCACTCTGTAGACCAGGCTGGCCTCGAACTCAGAAATCCGCCTGCCTCTGCCTCCCAAGTGCTGGGATTAAAGGCGTGCACCACCACTGTCCAGCTTGTTTTATGTGATTTTGTTAAGGTGTTTTGATCATGGAAAGTTTTTCATTTTTCTTTAACTATGACAGATAGTTTTGCTGGGGACAATAGTCTAGTTTTCCTGTCATGATGAAGAATTTGGAATGTCTTATTTCCATTGAGAAATCAAATGATATTCTCATGGGTTTTTCCTTTATATGTGACTTGGGTTTTTTCCCCTCTGGCAGCTTTGACTATTTTCTCATTGTTCTGCATATTTAATATTTGTACTGGCTAGTTTATGTCAACTTGACACAAGCTAGAGTTATTCAGAAGAAGGAACCTTGATTGAGAAAATGCCCTAATCAGATTGGCCTGTAGGTAAGCGTTTGGTGCAGTTTCTTGATTGATAATTAATATGGGAGGGCTGAGCTCACAGGGGGCAGTGCCATCCCTACTCTAGTGGTCAGAGTGCTATAAGAAAGCAGCGCAAGCAAGCCATGAGGAGCAAGCCAGTAAACAGCACTCCTCCATGACTCTTTATCAGCTCCTACCTCCAAGTTCCTGCCCCAGCTTCCCTTCATTATGAACTGTGATGGTTAAATGTAAGCTAAAATAAACTCTTTTCTCTCCAAGATGCTTTAGATCACAGTGCTTTATCACAATAGTAGAAACCTTAACTAAAATTGTGTTTTAACTATAATTGTGGTGCTAGGGACCAAACCTATGGGATTGTTCATGCTAGGCAAGTACTCTATTAGTGATTTACCCCATCCTCTATGATACTTTTCTGTCTTATCTTTCAGTTAATTAAATCTCTCTTTACCTATTCTAATCTACTATTCATCCTGTTTGTTTTGTTTTCATTTTGCTTATCATATATTTCACTTCAAGAAGTTCACCCTTTTCAAGATTTCAAGATCACATTTTAAAATAGCCTTCGGGGATGAAGAGATGGCTCAGTGGTTAAAATACACTAGCTGTTCTTGCAGAGGACTTCAGGCTAATTTCACAGTAGCCATTTAGTGGCTCACAATTGGCTGTAACTCCGATTCCAGAGGACTTCATGCCCTCTTCTGGGTCCTCAATCATGTAGTGCATATGCATACATGTAGGCATAGCACACAACACATCAAAATAAGTCATTAAAATTAGTCTTTGTTTCCATGAAGTTCACTGATAGTCAAAAAATATTAAATCTGTTATAGTATAGTAAAAGCTAATTAGACAAAGTTGAAAAATCACTATAATCGTGTCACTAGATACTAATACTAATCTGTCTATTTGCATTTTTAAAATACATTTTTTTATTTTTTCAAGCTTTGAAAATATAGTTGTTTTGTAACTGGTTAATTTTTATTATTACCCTAGTTTCTGCATCTTGAATATCTGTTTCTGTTAGCTATTATTTCTGCTGTTATTAATTTATTGTGCCTGACTCTATAGGGTAGTTGGTTATTTATTTTTAATGTTTACAGCTCATCATTCTTGAAAATTTATTTATGAAATATTTTGAAGCCTAAAATGAATGTTCTTTCTCACAGAAAGGGTTTCTCCTTTCCTTACATGTTTGGGAACAATTATTCATAACTTTAGGTCTTTTGATCCCTCTCTCCCCCAGATACTGTAATTTAGTGCTACAAACAAATAAGTTTGTCTTGTATTACACCTCATGGAACAATTTCTCCCTACGTGGTGTACTCCCTTTCATCTAGTGCCAAAGTCACGTTCTTTGTGGTCTCCTGGAATGGTTGCTTCGGACTTAGTCTTAATCTAACCATATGATCTTGTGGAATTTGTTGTCTAGTTTCTCATTTGCCAAGAACTGTCACATTTTCAGTAAATATTTGTCCATATTCACAAACACCTACCAGCCAAAGGAGTTTTCATTCTCTACTTCCCTTTCTGGGTCTCAACTTTTTCTTAGACTTGGTTTCATGATTTTTTGCTACTTTCCCAAGTGCCCTATTATTTTATCTTAGTTTTTTTAAAAATTGAAGTATATTATCCAACATTTATAGTTGTTTTCAGAAGCAAAGTTATTTTACGATGGCTTATTCACTCTTGTTCTACAAGCAAATCTATTTCTCTAACCTTGTAAGGCAATATATCTTTAAAATTTTTTTAGGTTCCTTTCTTTTCATTGTGAGTACCCCTCAACAATTGTGTCTAACAATGATATTAGTATAATATGGTGAGGACTTTTATAAAATCAACCCTATGGTTTTTGTTTTCTTTTCAGGCTAAAGAGGTCATAGCAGAAGCTGAGCAACAGGATCCTACAAACATTTTCACTCAGTATTATATATTCAAGATTGCAGTCATCGAGGGTGACGCTTACAGAGGTATAAATATTCTTTATGCATTAATGTTAACAATAAAAAATCCTCAGAAAATAAAAAATCCACAATAAGTTAATAGTTTTTAAGATAGTAGACTGAATAGATATAATAAGTCTTCCATAAAAGTTATACAATAATGTACAAAGAAACTAGAGGGTATGTGAAAGTATAAAAAAAGGCAACTGCCTATCTAAAGGATCTTTTTATTTTATGTATATGAGTACTCTGTAGCTGTCTTCAGACACACCAGAAGAGGACGTCGGATCCCATTACAGATGGTTGTAAGCCGCCATGTGGTTGCTGGAAATTGAACTCAGGACCTCTAGAAGAGCAATCAGTGCTCTTAACCACTGAGCCATCTCTCCAGCCCCTAAAGGATCTTAAATGGGCACATATTGAACAAGAATTTGGGAAATTTTTTTATCCCTGGTTATATGTTATCATTTGAGCCAACCATCTCTGAGGTTGTAAAAGTTATGGGAGGGGGCAATTATAATAAACATTTACAGCAATTAAGAATTAACCTATAAATCAAAGTCTTTGGGTACCTTTTGACTCTGTTCACTATTGTTGTAAAATAATGTTGTTATTGTTAATAATAATAATAATAATAAACAACCCTAATCTTCAAATGGAATTTTTCTTCACAAAGTGACAGGGTTAGTGTGGTAGACACATGGTGCACATCCCATCAGTGCTGTGTTCTCCCATTAACTCAAACATAGTTTGTTAGCTGATATGTCTAAATGCACACGTGTATATATAATTAGTTGCATATATGCATATATTCATTTAAGGTTTTAACCCTTTCCACCCTTGTATAATTGAGAAAATTCTGAAGCAACCTGAAGTTGCCATTTATTAAGGAAATTAAGGAGCTTAAGCAAATGGATGGAAACAAACTATAGAAATCAAATTACTCAACTATTTACTATACACCAGAGATTCTGTTATTCATGCTAGAAAAAGATAATGCAATATATCATAAAATAGTGTCATATATTTCAATAATAATAAACAAGTATTAAGTTAGAGTTAGCTCTGTATCAAGGTTAATATTGTTTTCATGTCTGTCTTTACTGTTTTCAGTAGAGACTTCTGGGCATTTGTATTACTTGATACTGTATCTTAAGGGACAAAGAACTTTAAATTTCATGAGATATTTTTATCAATTAGTGTGGAAAAGGTTAAACCTTTTTTCAAAACTTCATTTTAAATAGAATTATTTCACCCGTTAAATTAAATATATTTATGTGTGTGTACATATGCGTGTGTGTGTGTGTGTGTGTGGTACTCACATGATGCCTCAGCATTTAGAAGTTAAATGAAAACATCACGGAGTTGCTTTTCTCCTTCACCTTCATGTAGGTTCTGGGTATTGAACTCAGGTCAACAAGCTTGTCCAGCAAGCATCTTTAGCTACTGTCCCTTTTAAATGTTTATATTAATATATATTGATTATATATAATATTAGGTTTCATTATGACATTTTCATATATGAATATAAGCTAGCTTCTACAGTATGGACTATGACCTGCCAAACTATGGACTTTTGATTAGATTTCCAGTTCCAGCCATGGACTCTTTCCTGTGGATCAGGCCTCAAATACAATCAAACAGTGGTTGATTACTTTCATATCTGACATGACTTCGGTTACCTTCTTGCCTGCCTGGTCAGTGGTGTTGCTCCCAATTGAGTAAGGCTGTTGATGAACTTCTCCATAGCACCTCATGGCACAATGACGGCTAACCTGGAAGGAGAAGGCAGCTTCCAGTCTAGTTGTAGCTGAACTTCTCTGTGCCCTGTGACTAGGGTACATGATATTTTCAACTGTAGGGTTTTAACTATCCAGTTTTAACTGGTGTGGACATTCAACAGCAGTGGTAATAGCCTGTGTTGTTTGGGGGCCTCCAGGACACAAGAGTCCTGCCACTGGACTTTTCGCTTAATAACCCATGGCTTCTGAAAGCCGCATTTTCACTCATGTACAGTCCATTCATTCAAATTCTTTTTCATTTATTTGTTTTTTATTAGCTTATCAATGATTAGATAGTTCTCGGTATTGCTTTTTCATACATCATTAGTTATGATTGAACCTCCCCCAGTCCCCTCTCCCTTTTCCCTCTTAATACTTTTTACCCCTAGTATTCCCACTTCCATTTTTATATCATATGCATTCTACAAACCTCACTCCCTTAAAGAATCTTTTTACCTCTCTGATAGGCCCCTTTCCAGTTTCCTGGGCTCTACACTTACTCCCACATAAATGAGCACTGAGAAAAATTGGAAGCTAGGATCTGCAAATGAGACAAAACATGTGTTTTTTTCTTTTTGAACCTCACCTAATATATTCTCAAGTTCTGCCAATTATCCTGAAAAATTCCATTTTTTAATAGCTGAATAAAACTTCATTTTGTGTATTTTTCACATCTTCATTATTTATTCTTTTGCTCCTGGATATCCAGGTTGATTCCATTTCCTAGCTTTTGGTAATAGAGCAGCTGTGCAATGACATGGGCATGCAAGTACCTCTGCAGTAGGTTATCTGTTCAGGAGTGGTAGTGCTGGCTTCTTTCAGTCTTTTGAGAAACATCTACAGTGATTTCCATAGGAACTGTACCAGTTTACACCCACACCAGCAGTGAATAAATGTTCTCTGATCTCCACATCTTTCAACATTTGCTGTAATTGGTTTCTTGGTAGCCAATCAAACTAGGGTGACATAACATTTCAAAGTAGTTTTAATTTATTTTCCTAGTGAATAAGAATGTTGAACTACTTATCAAATAGTCGTTGGTATTCTTTTGGGAATTCTCTGTTCAGTTTATTAGCTCATTTAGTAAAATGTATTTTTAATAAAAATAATATATCACTTTCTCTCTTCCCATTCTTCCCTCAAGCTCCTCCCAGGTATCTTCTGTCCTATCCCTTATTACCCCCTGAGAGAGAGATAGATAGATAGAGATAGATAGATATAGATATCTGTCTTTCTGAGTAGTTAGTTGTAGTTCTTTGTCTATGTGTAGGACCCTGTGAAAAAATGTTTACTTCTATGTTAGCATGTCTATTGATAGTGTCACTGTTCTGGTCTTGTTTATACAGCCATTTGTATGAGAGATTGTTTCACAACAGACTTCCTGGTATTCTGGCTCTTAAATATTTTCACATATATTTCATATATGTTTAACATATTTCATAGATGTAGGAGCTATGATGTAGAAGTATCCACTGAGGCTGGGCTCCCCACAATTCATTGATCTTTGCATTGTATCCAGTTGTACCTCTCTGTGATGGTTTTCATTTGCTGTAAAGAGAGGCTTCTCTAATGTGGGGTAGACCACCACTTACCTGTGGGTATAAGAATAAGTGGGTATAAGAATACATACCTGTGGATATTTAGAACGTAGTGAGGAATTGTGCTTGTTTAGCAAAACAATGGTTATAGATTCTTTTCTAAGGTCCATGACCTCACTAGCCAGAAGACTGGCTAGAATTTTAGTACTAAGCTCCTCTTGGCCCTAAGTCCAATTAGATAGCCTGGATACCACCAACATATGAGTGCCACTTATTATACCATTACAGATATCATTTCATAGTGATCATTGTTGTAGTTCATGGGTGTTTGAGCTAGGTAGGACTATTAAGTACTTTATTCCCTTGGCAGCTTCCATAGTATGGTCTGGTATCATAGAACCTAGACCACATGAAGTATGCCTTCAGATTAGATCCATCTTGAACCATTCTGAATCCTGTGTCCAAAATGTACACTATCTTCAGCAACAGGGGCTTGTCCTCAACTTGTGAGAACCAACTAAGAGCTACACCAATAATCTACATTGTTTTGGGAGTCACTTGGACTACCCTGACCACCCAATAGAAAGTTCTTAAATTTTACCATGCCTTATTTGTCAGTTGTTGGCTGCATTTCCTGAGTGGCTAGAGGCCTATTCAGAAAGTCCATACCTGTACATATCTTGAAGTGTTGTCTTTACTTTTTCTTACTTTAATACATTTAATTCATTTGTTCTTAATTCTTATGCATGGTAGGAGATGATCTGGTTCCATTCTTTTTCCAGCACTATTTGCTGAAGAAGATGCCTTTTCCCCAAGGTTTAATTTTGACACCTTTGTCAAAAATCAGGTGGGTCTTTCTGACATGAGTCCTTTATTCAATAACATTTTATGGGTCTTCCTGTCTGTTTTTATGCTTGTTCCATCCCATCTGTCATAGTTCCTTTTCCTATTTCAAGATATTCCTTTTCATAGTTTCCTGTTTCTGTGATAAATACCCTGTCAAAAGTAACTTAAGTGCACAGTTCAAGACATAATGGTGGAGACATCAATGCAGCAGAACATGGAACCTTCTGGTAACATTTATGTTCACAGCGAGGAGATGAGAACAATGGATGCATGAATGTTAGTGTGCAGTTCAATTTTGTCACTCTATACATGCCAGCATCTCTTCGCAAATGAGTGGCGTAACCACCTCAGTTAGCATTAATGATCACACTGTTTTTGCTTTTATGGCTCTGTAGTATAACTTGAAATCAAGTATGGTGATCTCTTCCTCATTATTCTTTCTGTTCTTCTATGTACATTTTAAGAGTGCCATTTTTTTTTCTGTGAAAAATACTGTGAGAATCTTAAATGCTCTATTTTTGAAAATTTATATCTATATGAAATGAAAGATATTCAACTTCCCTGTGTCCTCTTATTCTAGTTTGGTTTTCTGTATTGGTGATAAAAACCATGACCCAAAGCAGCTTGGAGAAAAAATGGTTTTCATATTAACGTTTATAGTCCATTATCAAGGGAAACTAAGGCATGAGAAACTCAATTAAGCAAAATAGAGCAGAGAAAATACTACTTAATAGCTTCTTTGTTCTAATTTGCTCAGCTACCCTTCTTACATAGGCCAGGCCTAACTACCTTGGGATGGCCATGTTCACAGTGGTCTGGAGCCTTCTATGCCAATTACAATAAGTAAATGCTTCATAGACAT